ACTGACAATTATATTAATTCTTATCCAATGCGAGAATAAACAGTTAATAATAATAACCCTGTATAATGCATATGTACATAAATAATAAGCAAGAAAACTGTAATTAAGTGATTATATAATATAAGTAACTAAGCGAATTCTAAGATAAATTTTTTGTACAAGGGAAGCGTGCAAACAACAAACAAAAAAATGTATACACATAAAATACAGCGAATTAAACCAGTAAAGGAGATAGGGATAGAGCGCTTTAAACCACCCTCTTTCCTTTAACCGGAAAATGCTATACAACACAAACAACATAACACAGACATAAAGACACATCAAAAAGAAAATCGCCGCCGAGGACGTCGGCGTCGCGGCCTCGGACGTGTTACGTACGATAGTATATAGCTATGCGTGCGAGCGCCTCTGCTGGCTTGGGCCTGAAAGGTAGGAGAATAGAGGAGAGAGGAGATAGAAAAGGTAGAGAGAAGGGATACAGAGATCAGCTAGAGACGCGAGAGGGTAAGGACGAAGTCCGCGAACGATAATACATGCACAACTTCCCTAAATAATAAGTAATTCTAATAAAGCATAAGTAACAAAGAGTCACGCTTCTATTTATTCCCGCACCAAGAATCCCACGTAACACTATTTATACGAAATTTGCTCTCTACGATTTTTTTCGCCACTCAACGATAGAGCAAAAAACTGTGTAGGCGTTCAACAATTTCTTCAGTAAGAAAGACTTTATATCGCTACTAACATATATACATATACATACATACACTTAAACAAGACTTCTGAAATGTACCTGATTGAAAGCTGCATCCAAATTTTCCAGCAGGTTGTTTGAATTTTTGATCATTTGGTTTATTTTATTATAAACGGGATCTTTAGATGATGCCTTGAAATATACAGAACAAATGTATGAAATAAAATTCTAAATTTATTGTCAGTTAAACTTGTATTTTTTTAACCAAAATAAATTTGTAGAAGCCGGAACTATTTACAGCAATAGGTTGGTAACTACCATCTTCCATGAACTCAGATATATCATTAAATGGCATTGTGGGTAGTCCAACTGTCAAGTAACTTGTCAAAGATCCACAATAAACCGCGTAGATGACTAATGCACAAAATAGTACTATCAAGTAAACCAACTTTAATGACGGACGGTTAACATAAGCATCTATAAATTGAAAAATTTATGTTTATGAAATTTGTAAATTGTTGAAAAATCAGTCGCAAATTTTGGTACTCAAAATTCACCTGACAACCCTTGCTGGCAGAATACACCCCATATTTGTGTACAATTTTCCAACAAAATGGCATATCTTGAACGTATTTTGTCTTGCAATTTCATGTCGATGAAAGACAATGTAATTGTCAAAATAACTACAGTAATAGCTATCTTAATTCTGCACCTTTGCTTAAAATCTAATTTTCAAAGACTTCAGTTATCCATTCTTACTTTCACATTTTAACGGTGAATGAGATCTTTTAATGTTTGTATTTGTATATGACCAAGTATTGTATAGAGTGTCACACTTTCAACGTACCACCTACATTTTCTTTTTCTTAATAAAAATTTAAACATTTAAAACACATATAATTTTGAAAAATCTGTCTATAACAATTATAACAATATTACATATAATAAAGTAGACTAACTTTTGACCGTAACCAATTTAGAAAAATTAACATTGTTTTTGTGTGTAAAAGAGTCTATTATTGTAGTGCTACTTTTCGGCAGTTACTGTAATAATAATAATTGCATAATAGTATCTGGGATTTTGAAAACGCTTATAAAGCTTCAATGATTATATCCTTTGATGTAAAAAAAATTATTACTTACAAGTTAAAGGAATTAAAAAAAAATATACATATAAAAGATCAATTATCATGAGAGTATAAAATTCCAAATTAAGATATGACAACGACGACGAGAACGACAACGTTGGTGACGTCGATAATAATTATAAAATCTTTTGATACGTACTTTTGTATTCAAAAATAATTGTACTTATGTTATGGAGTAAAAATATAATAATTAACGTGGTTAGTAAATTCAATTAATAAGTACGCTAACTTTTACTTTGCTCGAAAAAATCAAACAAAAATCTCAGCCTTAAAGATGTAATAATTGTTGCTTATTTTTAAGTCACATAGTACATTGCGAATCCTCACACCCAAATAGGAATAAAGAGTATAGAATTTTCTAGACCACATGCTTACAATCATTACGAACAAAGCCAGCACGAGTGCCGTACGTGCAGTCTGACTATTCTATTTTCCCGGATTTCACCACTAAAAGGAGATGTTTGTTTAAAATTAGATCTTATTACCTGACACAGGCTTTTTCTAACATTTAATTAGTTATTGTGAGATAAACACTGCTCGGAATGTATATAACAACAATATTATTTTACCCCCTTGAGGTATAGCTATTTATAAAAGTAATTCGTAGAAGCTATTCGTATGCACTTTGTACATATTTCGGTTCAATATTCGTTTTGTCTTTTTATATTTTTTTTAAATCAGGCACTGCCTATGTATTGTATAGGACGAAGCCATTTATCGATTTCTCGCGTTTGCATACTAAAGTAAAAATGGTTTCGTTCAAGCAAACGTATTTTTGTCGCAAGGTCAATTTGATCGCTTGATTATTGCATGACGCGGTTGTTTTTTCACCAACGAAACAGAAAATCGAACTTTGATTAGTGGGCACTTTGAGTTTTTTACAGAAAATAATCAATAACATGGACGAGTCATTCCAAAGGCCGGCCATTCATATTTGTGTCAACAATAACTTTAGTTCTCAAAATTGTTGATTTTTCTCTTTAAATTTATTCAATTAGGTTTATGGAATTTATAAAGTAAATAATCAATAACATGGACGAGTCATTCCAAAAGCCGGCCATTCATATTTGTGTCAACAATAACTTTAGTTTTCGGAATTGTTGATTTTTCATTTTTCTCNTCAAGACCTCGCCGTGATAAACTCAATATGTCAATGGAAAACAAAAAGATCCAATAAAAGTGCTCCTTCTTTTGATCGTATATTGTCTTTTTCGACGTAATAAAATATAAAGCATGATTTCTCTACACGCACGCCCTTATGTATTATTAGGTGATGTCATGATCAACTCGTATTCATTTTGATACTACGGCTAAAAGAAAACTTCAATTTTTATTTGTAAATATTTTGGGCTCCACACAGAGAATAATCAACAAAATGAAGACGTATCTATACAAAAACAAAGATAAGATGTAAAGATATAAGGCCTTAGCACTCGTAGTTTGCTAATAAAGCTTATCAACAATTACTCAGATATCTAAAATAAACTAAAAAGTGATAATAAATTGTTATTATTTTAACAGGTACCTAGTATTTTGAAAGGTTGCATTTCTTTTGAATGGAACAATTTGTGTCTAGATTTTGTCTCGAGAATATTCAATGCCTAATTTAGTTACCCAAAGTTTGAAATATAGATTTACGATTTTCTGTAGTAGTATCACAATTATTATCAGAAAAGAGGTATTAATGTGACAGTTAAAAAATATTCTGGAAAATCTGACCCTTACTTGATTTGTTTTAATCGATACGGTAAAGTTTTTTTAAGACGCTATTAAAAAATTGTTTTGTAAGAGACCTGAGTACTGAAGACCTTTTAATAAGATTAAAGAGTAGAACACATTAAATATTTTATAACTTATTGACAGAATTTTGTTGACATACTTATAAAAAAGGACTAAAATTTTTAAAAATATAATGAACAATTATTTATGCGAAAACGACTACATCAAAACTTAACTAACATTTTTCAATAAATATACATATAATATGAGTGCATGTGTTTGTGTGTGTACGTGTGTGTAAATTGGCTGGTACCAAAAAAAGGTTTGTTTGGATTAGAATATTTTTAAACTTACTGCTTAATATGCCAACCGATATTATCCGTTTTATCTAACCAATCCACTAAACAAACAGAGAGTGAATTGTAAATTAAAGTTAAGTTACAAACTACAGTATGACAAAAAGTCAGATGTAGCCATAAAGGATTCGTTAATAGTGGAATAGCTCGTAAAATACTAGGTTTACGTGGGGGTCACCTGTTAATTTGTAACAAAATGAAAAATTAAAACTAAATAAATGTCAAAGCTTAATTTAATAGATAAGAATCTCTAAAATTTTGAAATCATGTAAATAAAGTGTGCTTTATTAAGTCGAAGTATCAATCATTTTAATTCAAATTACCCAAGCCAACTTAATAAGTAAGGAAAGCTGCCCCTTGACACTTTCAAAAAGCTGCTTGTCTACGGTGAGAAAGCAGCTCTTCTAGGTGGAAGAGAGATACTACAATAGAGCAATAATAGCATGGCTCTTCTGTATCTGAAGAAGTATTCCCCACCAATTTTCTTTCGGAACAGTGCGCGCAGCGCTAGTCATTAACTCTAATAGTCCAACTGCAGTAAGCAACGACAGCGTTTAGTATTAGTACAATCAGTGATTGTTGCACCTCCAGCTGTACAAGTAGCACACAGAGCGCATATTAAATTTATACAGTAATCAGTTCGCTATTCTTCAATCTTCGTTGTCAACTCTGTTGAAGCGGCAGTTTAAACGATTATTTGTATTCGAATTTTTTGTTCTAAATTATCATGACTTATGCGGAAATACCGACATATACCGACGAAAAAGTACTCGCATCCATTGAAGAAGGTATACGGGGACTTATGGCTCCACGATCTCTTCCCCGTGCAACTTCTAATAATAAAAGCCTCATCTTACCAATTAATCAGAGCTACGGTGACAACAGTGCCTCTAAAGTTAAGGCACACAAGGTAAAAGACCATTTCTATATTGAATTATTACGGGTTCCTTATCGTGGGTTACGATGGGATAATGTAGACTTCTTGTGTCTTACACGTTTCTTTTGGAGAAAATAACATCGTGACACACAAAGAAATAGGCGTTGAGTTATGTATAGACATTACCTAAAATATCCGGCCTTTAAATATTTTTCATAAAATCAAGATAAAAAACTAGGGAGAAAATTAAAGCATATTTGCAGAATTGTTACAAATATGTAGAAATTATTTCTTGTTTTTTGCCTAACAATAACCTTAAAAATTATTTTAAAAAATATCTCGAGCCTGTTATCTATAAGAAATGTACAGGAAAGACATAAATATACCACCGTAACCAACGAGGAACAGAGAGACTTCTAGTCCAACACTATGGTTTTTCAAACAAACTCTATGTAATTTAATGGTCAATGATTTTTGTAGGAAGATTTTTATAAAGAGGTAGACTGCACAGGATTTGCTTTGGAAGAAATTTCTGTATTCGTAAGTATCGTTTAGTTTTATTCGTCATACATATAATTTGAATGATAGATAAAAGAACAAAAAAAAATTATTAATAAAATTGACATAATATGAAAAGCAAAAAACAAACTCAATAAATTTTGTTTCAACTTTAGGTAGAAGACAAATTAATCGTAGTCGAGGGTATACATAAAAATATTCAAGATGAGCACGGTAACGTCTATACGAACTTGTCAAAGACGTTTCCCGTCTCTGAAACCTACGACTTCAACGATGCTAAAATACATTTATTCTTGGACGGTACATTAACTATCTACATTCCTTGTAAGGTTGAGCCATTAGCGGATTAGAACTGTACCGTCAAAAGTCTATACAAAAATGAACCAAGTGGAGAAATATAACTTCAGTTAGAAGGATAATATTCTAATGGTATTTCATGATTTCATCTTTTTAAAGTTTCAAATAAATGATAAAAACTTCGAAAAGCATTTCATATTCTTAATGTTGTTGATATATTTATAACCATATTATGTCTTTTGTATGCACAATTTCATGCAATAAATACACTACCATGAAACGGTGAAATTTTATAGCGTGTATTTATAAGTCCTTTAGCAGAGAATGACGACTAATTTCTTTCCGATTTTATTTGTATATAATATTTGACATAATCATGTAGTTGCAGAAAAATTGATTCTTACACGTTTCTAATACGAGACACAGAAAGCTTTTTCTAAGAATAGGCAACAGATCTCAAAATGAAATATTACTAATTATCATATTTTACATGAGAAAAGAAAAGAAGGCAAGCAATAATAAAGTAACGAATTAATACAATTTTTCTGTAACATTTAAACATGATAATATTTGTACATTATATTCTGAGGCAAAACCAACAAGTCAACAGCACAGGTAGTCTAAGTTTATTTGTTGAAAGTGTGGCATTGAGTTTTATGTGAGGTAACAAGGTCAGATTATTTTATTAATTTCACATGATTCTAAGATGTATATTATGGTACAAGGATGTAACATGACAAGGGATGGCCTTGTCTACCACTACATGTGCGGTTACATAATGCCTACGCCTGTCCTCCCCCCAGCAAATCTATTGGTGCGGTTTAGGATTTTAATGCTTTTTGCACGACAGATTTCCATAGATTAAACTTTTTCATAATTGATTTTTGTGATCCTATGTGTGTCACGCTACTTGATAAAGGTTAGTGCTTTTTTTGTACAGTAAAAAAATGGAAAAGGGTGTATTTCAGCGCAATGGCCTTTCTGTTGCTAATAAGGTTCCCTCTTGCTCAAATCAGACTTGAGTCGCCACTCTTTTTCATATGTTTTTAATAGAAATGTACTGCCCCATGAGTTATGGTTACCTGCTATTTACTCAGGCCTCATAGTCTGTCTTGACGGTTTTACCAAAACAACCGCGCTGGGAAGGAACGATGCACATGGCCAGCCCCAGAGAACAGCCTGTGAGTAAACCTATTACATGTCATTGTAGTGTGTCAGTGTAGTAAATGCTCTGGTGGAAAAGTTGTAAACGTCACTGTTTCTTAAACAAAGTGGGGTGGAATGCTATTTGGTTCGACGCCCCCTCATACGATCCAAGCTGCCAGCAGCGGGATCTCCGTCAAGGTCTTGCACACCCTCGAGTAAGATTATCAATATTATTACTAGCTATTATTATTATGATTATTATTTTAATATTAATTACTCGTAAAATATATTTTTTGATATTCGTATTATTACTAATCTTGTCATCATTAGTGCTGTAATGACTAAAAAAAATAAAACATTAGTACCCTTAATACATTAGGTTTCTAAAAAATGAGGGGTAAAGGGTTCAGTTGTTGTTCTCCCGTTACTGATTTACTGCCAGATGCATTTTTTAATAGAGCCTTTATATATAAATATACAAATTATACAGAGGTATTTTTAGATTTTTCGGTGGCTAGATTCTCAACGTTAGGTGATAGTCACCTTCTATACTGCATTAAAAAATCGGCTGCATATTTGGAAGAAAAATGAGTTATTTTTTACGAATTAAAACTCTTTGATCGGCCGATGAATCTCGTGGAATATATTGTACGGAAGAAAAAAACAAAAGATGATTTCTTCAAAGAAAGTTGCAATTTTTAATTATTTAAATCATTGGGAAATAATATGAATTTGATGTACGTCGTTATTTAGCGTACACAGGTAGTTTAACTCAAACAAAAGATTAATTTATTTTTATACACAAAAAATTTTAGTAAATGCATAAACTTTTTGTCATAAGTATAAAATATCAAGTAGGCTCTAACAATATACCATATAGTCATCGGCCGTATTTGCCGTTGATATTAGTCATTCTAACACCATACTTTAAACTTCTTGCAATTTGAAAAATTACCATAAGAAATTCTTTTCAAATCTATTTTTATTTTCTCTCAAAACTCATGAAACAACCACGTATTTTCCGTGTAAAGTTCGTGAATAAAGTCATTTACGACTGGACTTTATAAAATAACTGAACAGAGTAATTCTTACTATGGCTATTCTCATCAAACGTTGATAAAAATTTTGAATGTTATCGTATGCTTTATGAATAAAAATGCAGGAGGTTAGTATTTTTGGAAGCTGTAACGAGGGGGCCATAGCAAGATAAAAAATTATCGTCATACTTAAGTTTCAAATGGTATTTAGCTTTCAAGTATACAATTTTGGAAGCGATAGAATCCAAGTAGGAACAAGAGAGTATAAGTAAGGCTATATTTTTATTCTTCAGAGATTCAATAATAACATTCGTATACCCAAAAACCGCTTATAGAAGTATACGATATTTATTGATCAAGAACGAGGCAAAATCATCAAGTATATAGCTTGGATCTAGTTGCGTCTACTGTGAAGTGGAATGAGTACGAGGGTATAGTGTTGTACTAATAATAAATATAGCTGCTAATGCTGGTTTTTGATTCTATAATACTTGTCTTTCTTCTCGATTGTATTCTCTGACTATAATAACGTGGAAACCAACTTATTTCGTAAACGTATAAAATGATGTCAAAGATGAGTAAGCCAGGGTTGGTCAGTTGGAAGGGATACCTGCACTGTTTTGACGATGAGAGATAGAGCAAACAGCCTTGATGTCATACTAGTAAGGCTATATTTCTTAGGTGAAGAAAGAGATGACGTTTAATACGACATGTGCCACGAGCAGCATAGTCGTGGAAAATTCGTTGGGTGTGACTCTGTATCTTTAACACGAAGAGGTACGCATTATTAAAGAGTATGAAGGGGTTGCATAGCAGTAGCTGTTTATATCCTCGTTTGATTTACTTTATCGTTAAAAATTAAAGTGGGCAACGCTCTGTAATGGTGGGTATTGTAAAGAACTTTTGTCTTGCGTAAAATGCCGAAATATTATACAAGGCTTCGTTTATTTCGTGTTTTTTTAGTTATAAATATAATGGTCCATATTTTATCGTATAAAACGATTTTTGCTTTGGAAGTAACACTTTTGCCATTAAGTACAAAGACTAGTGCCCTTTCTTAAACAAAAATGTATTGAGTTCTCTGTACTTAGCAAGTATATAGTATTGTTGTCTAGCTATTTTTAATCGCTCGAAGAAGAATGAACAATAAATGATTTAACAGACATAAGTAATTCATAAAAAGTAGCAGCTTTTGTAAAAGAAATGAGACTGAAATATGAAAATCATTAAAAAATTGTATATTATCATTCAAACTATCTTTCTACTATCGTTTCTTGCGATAAAAAAATTTACGATATTTAGTAATCACTTTGAAAACACGTAAGAAAATCACACATACATCCAATTGAAGGTACTACTCACAACGATGATAAAGAAAAATTTTAAATTGATAAATAATTTAAAGTAATTACTATGCTATTACACACAATGGCCCGCACATATTTCATCGTATATTTGTAATTTATTGCTTTAAATTACCGAAAAGGCGTTACAAAAGCGTGAGATAAAACAATACGGCAATGTTGCTATTCGTTTAAGTTGCGGTGATGTTCACAGATGAAGGATTTGGATCAGAGATACCAAGGGAAAGCTAGAGTCCGCAAGAGGATATTTAGAAACCTTCCATATATCCATAACCAACCCATGACAGGAACATCCCCTGTCCCACAATTAAAAGTTAATCTATTTATTTTATCATTGTAAACGGCTCAAGTGACTTTAGAATTTGATAAGTGTATAATGAAAAAAATTTTTTCAACCAGTTTATAATGAAGACTCAAACAAATTTAAACTATTCTGTAGAGCAGCTTTTATTGCTTTGCAAAAATCATTTGTAAAATAACTAACTGTGATAACCGGAAGGAAAGTATTGATAACAAAAATTTTTTAAGAAATTCCCGCGATTAGGATATAAGGATAGGAGGTTCCTAAAATATTTTCGATGTATAATGGGAAAGACTAGAAGGTAACAAATTATAAGGAACAGGTCTTACTGTTATATTTTGAACGCAAGCAATTGACACATCAATTAACGAACAGACTGAGAAATAAAAAACTCGCTCAATAAAAGCTAGGCGGAATTCAACGAAAAAATTACTGGAGACCATATACTTTTGCCAATAAGTGATGTATATTTTAATTAGCAAAGATTACCTATTTTTCGTCTACCCCCTTACTGTAATAGGAGGACTCTCATTCCTTTTCCAAAGCGTTTACACATATATACAGCTAGAAACATTTTTTTTTGTTTCACAATTTATAGAAAATGTTCCGATCATATATTTTTGCTTAATTTTAATACACTGAAATAATAATAATTGACTGTAAATATTGAATTTATCAATTAAAAAAATATGGAATACCAAAAATCGATTCAATACGAAAAAAAAAGTCTTTTCTATAAACACTTACTTAAGGTAAAATTGTAAAAAAGCCTCACTTTTAAGAAATACGATAAAGGCTTCCTCATGTATCTTCCTTACGTTAATAAAACGGAAAAGATATGCAGGTGAGCGTACATGTGTACTTATGTCAATATATAATACACAAATATGTGCTTCCAGACACACACTTACTTACACATTTTTTTATTTCAGTAAGTTACTTTGTGAAAAACTTTTTGATCTTCTCAACTATTTCACTCATAATGTTATTGTCACGTACAGTATGAAACATACTACGTGGGGTGGACTTCAGCTATTAGTATTAGGAAGGAGCACATGTGGGGGAAGAGAGAGCTTAGAAGGCCCGCAGCAGTGGCCGCAATAAGTAACTCGGAACCGCAAAGCGCCTTCCCTCAAGGAATATAGCAATAAAGAGATTGATTGAATTTAACTGCCGCGTTGTTATCAAGCACCCCGAAACTTTAG